GAGCTCCGGGGCTGAGAGTGGTAGGCCTCCGATACCAGTTAGAAATGGTTCGGCCCTTGAGAGTCCCCCCACCCCCCATGCCTGCAGAGTTTTGCAGCAGATAGGATGGAAGGCAGATGAGGGAGGAACTCTGTGAGCATCCTGTCGTTCCTGGAGACCCTGGAGGACAGTTACAGCCTGTTTTCAGTGGACTGGGAGAAGTCTGCGGTTCCTATGCCTCTAAGCTCAGTTGCTGAGGAATGAATGGGGGAATGGAGCTAGCAAGTAGGTTTTTCCGGGCTGACATCTCCCTCGCAGAGAAGGGATTTGAAATCTCCCACCGAGTCCACAGCCTGGATCCTTGGGAAAGGAGGCTAGGAATGTGGTGCCCAATGCATCTCCTAGGAGAGCCCCTGTTCCAGACCTGTCCACCCCCACTGCTGGCTGAGAATTAAAAACACTCCTTGTTCAGGGCCTCCAGGAAATGGGGGGAGGTGAGTCTGCCTAAGGATCCACACGTTTTCTCCAGTCCTCAACTCCTGGCCAGCAGTGTCTTTGCTGTAGGCTTGAGGAGGTAGCAGACAAAGGATTGGGGGACACGGCATAAGGGAGATCTACGGAGAACTGGGGAAGTCACCCTGCCCCCACCCATGCCCTGGGTGATGTGACCCATCAGCAAGGATGGCCACAGCATACATATACACAGGCACCAACTTGCTACCCCCTCCTCCCCCAGTGAGAGGAGGGAAAGAGAAGGGTCTAGACTGGCCCTTTAAGAGCCACTTAGGGTCAGAAAGCCTGGCCTGCAGAGAGAGGAAGGAGCTGATGTCAGAAGACGGATGGGCAGCAAGATGGGGATTGATGCTAATGGGGGAGTTAAAGCTAAGTACCCAGACACTCAGAGGGCAAAACGGCAGATCTGTCTTCCTTATGCTCACCTCCCCCCAACACCAAGGTTGTAAATCTGCCTCCTCAATCGAGGGAAGGGGGAATAAGGAAAAAAGACAGGATCTCCTCTTTTCCTGCCCCCTCCCAATTCTTTTGTTTTCTCCCAATACATTACCCTTCCCAGTAAAATGTCCAGTTTCTAGCATTTCATCAGAAACCGAGGCAATGAGTGCTCCTTGTAGGGGAGTCTGAGAGCAGACCCAAACTTTTCCCTCATCTGCCCCGGGGTCGGAATGGATTGCTGGGTCTGAGGTGAAGGCTCAGTGGTTCTGCCTTGCTCTTCTTTGGAGTTTTTACTCTAGAGTCCGTCCCTCTCTGCACACAGCAGGTGAAGGCAGGAAGCAGGGTGTTGGATTCCAGGGGTACCAAGGGTAGCTGGTGTAGCTAGTGGGGAAAGTTCAGGAGTTCAGGATCCACCCACAGAAGACACAGTCTGGTTTCTCGGAACCCCATGGTTCACACCAGCCTCTGCTCCAGCATATCCTGTCTGCTGGGTAGGCAATCTCAGGCCAACTGTGTTTGCTTCGAAGGCAGCTTTTCCTGCCCTTGAGTGTTATGGGGGGGGGGGGGGGTCAGAGCTGGTAACCCTAGTCAGTCCTGCTGTTTTCTCTTCAGGTGGGACTGTGCCTCCTGTCTTTCAAGCCCCCCTATTACCCTTCCTGCTGGTGACCTGATGGGCCTGCCACGTGACGCCCCTCTCTATATTAGAAAGCAGTCTGCTGTACCACATCTGGTAGCCTCCTCCCTGATCTTCCCAACCCAAGGAACAACTGGAGGCCTGGTTGCCTCTGGTTTCCAGTCCTACTCACTCAAAATCCGTGAGAAAGACCCTGTGACATGAGTCTCATCTGTTTCCTTCTCAATTTTTCCTTGAGAGGTCAAAAGTGGCCTCAGGGGCATCTTCTCTGTTTTCAGAGAAAAGGAAGAAAGCAAGGCTGAGTGGGAACACTGGGGGTTATGGTCAGGAGCCAGGAAAGCCCAGCCTTCCAGCTTCTTGTCTCCGGCCCAGCGTCCCCTCTCATCTCAGGGAGGTCAGCCCTTGCCTTCAGCCCTGCTCTCTGGCTGCTACTCTACATTGGTAATAAATCATGTCTTTGTCTCCCCTCTGACCCAGGCCCCAGGCAGGCTGAGGGTCAGTCAGAGGGAGGGGTTGCTGCAGAGGAGGGGACAGACCAGAAGGGGGGGGGGAGAAGATGGACAGGAGCAGCTGGTGGGCAGTGAGGGGATGGGGCCTTTTGATTATTCCGTGGATCCTGAACATTCCAGCAGGCTTGTACTCCAGGTGAGAAAGCCAGGGTTCCTGAGAAGCTGTGCAAGTACCTTCAGCATGGCCCCTGGAGCACCAAGAATCCTGGGATATGTTGTGAGGTGGCTCAGAGAAAGAGACTGCTAAAAGGACAGCATTGTGGGCATCCTGCTTTTCAGCACCTCAGGCCCCTACATACATGTGTCGTGTGCACATGTGCACACACATGATTTATGGCCTGTCAGCATAAAACAGCCCAGGAGAGCCGGCCTGCCCTCTCCGGTCCCCTCCCCAGCAGCCTTTTCTCGCTGTCTTTGCGGCCTCCATCGCCACTTTTTCTCGGCTCCAGCCCTGCTCGCTGTCTTTGTGCAGCTTTCTCTCCCAGGGTGTCAGTTTCCCTTACTTCTCTCCGCCTGCGCCTCTGAGGTTCACTCTTCTCTTTCCTTCTGTCCCTCCCCCCCTTCCCTCACTTCCTTGGACATGTGTCCAGCCTCTGACACTGTCATCCTCCGCCTCAGTTCCACCATGAACCCTGTTGCAAGCCAGCAGACCTTTGGGTGTCAGGTTACAAGGATGGATAGGAGGCAGACAGGTTCTCCGTGGGTCCCTACTTTAGTGGCTTCCTAGTGGGTTCTGCTTCGGCCAGGAAGTAGAGGACAGGGTGCGTGGGAGGTAAGCAGAGAGAGGGGTCCCTGAAGGAGGAAAGGGACCTCGGGAGACCCAGGAAGACAGGGAGAGGACACCAAAGGGCAAACCCCGAAGGAAGGACAAGGACCTGGAGTTCCTGAGTGTCTGGGGTCAGGCTGAAGGGGCACCTGGGGGTTTTATGAACACAGATGGGGACACAAGCCCAGAGACCCAGCCAGAGATGTGTCACTGTCTCTTTTCTGCTTGGGAACTTCTCAGAGGCCCCAGGCCTTCTGTGATGCTGGTCCCCTTCTGTTAGCCAGACTCCACTCCTGTCCTCCCTTGAAAATGACATCAGCTCTGGCTGCTGCTGTCAGTCCCGCTGCTTTCTCTCCCAGAGGTGCAGCAAGGGTGTCGCCCTTCACCCACCCATTCCTTCTTCAGTCAGAGAGGGAGCCAGAGCTCCCCAGCCCAGGGCCCTGCCGTCCACGTGGGAGGAGGCTTTCCTGGCCTTGGTGGGAAAAGAGGGGAGCATGGAAGAGGAGAGAGAGAGAGAGAGAGAGAGAGAGAGAGAGAGAGAGAGAGAGAGAGAGAGAGAGAGAGAGAGAGAGAGGCGCCTGAGGGGGCACTTGAGGAGGAGACTGTAGCAGTAAATCACTCTGTCGGGGGGCTCCCTCTGCCTGAGCTCAGTGGGGTGGGGGAACGAGAGACGTGGGGTAGGGCAGCATGGGGAATCACCACATCTGGCAGGCAGGTGTCTGGCACTGTTCAGACTGTAGTCTCTTTCCCAGCCAAAGGGGAGAAAGGGAGGAGGGCCTCCTAGAATCCCCTGGGGAAGGGGGAAAGGTTCACAAACAGGAGGGGGAGGCAAACCAGACAGTCCAAGCCCCTGCTGCGTCTGTTTTAGTCAGTGCTAAGGATGAGTTTGCAGAGTCCAAAAGAAAGTTGCTGGCCAGAGGACTGGGTAGGCAGGGGCGCCAACATTTCAGTTCTGCTGGGAAACAGAGGCTGGAGAAACAAGGTCTGACAATGCAGGGTTTGAGAGCTTAACGGAAAGAACTACTTTCTCACGTCTGCCTATCTGCTCACCAGCCCTCAACTCTTAATAATCCTGCTCTCCTTAGCCAAAGGCTACTCAGGGTCATGAGAAGCAGGTTAGGGGCTAAAAGCTGGGCATTGCTTCTCACAGATCAGACAAGGATAGAGAGCACCATAGCTCTTCTCCCACGGATCCTCCAGCTCCCCTGCAGGGACCAGGCAGGGATGGTCCAGTATATAGCTTTCTATTTGTTTAAGGCGATCTTGGTCCAGGTGTTTCACAGCTGCTGAGCCAAGTTCCAGGTTTCCACAGAGGAGGACGGACTGTTCAAACCATAGGCTCCATGCCCTGCAGAGGCCCTTCCCATTCTGCCTCCTTCCTCCTTTCCAGATCCCTGTCAGCCCAGGATTTGCAGGCCCATGTCAGAACAGTAGAGGTGACTGAGGAGACCCTTCAAATCTCAGTGGAGGGGAGGAGTCCCCACACTGCCCCCTCCTTAAAATCCTGCAGAGGAAGGGGGAAAGAAAACCAAAGCATTCTCCTGTCGCCGCAGCAACCATAAAACCCCCAGCTAAATCCATCTTGTGAGCTCACCGCCCCATTAAGATGCAGGGCCAGGCTCTACGCCAGCCCAGCCACATTCATTTGTGCGAATAAAGGTAGAGGAGGGGGAGGGGAGCGGGCTCTGGAGGGACGGGGAAATGGCGAGAAGAGGTTATTTACACCACCGTCCTGACCTTCTGGAGCAGCGCTGGCTCCGATAAATAACCCGCTCAGCGCCGTTTCGGAGGAATGGGAGGTGCGGGAAGGGAGTAGGGGCTGAAGGAAAACCCCCACGCAGGTGCGCGTCTCCGGGTTACTAATGGCTGAGGCGGGAGCAGGCAGCTGGCTTTGGGGGTGTGTGGGGGAGAACTCAGTTCCCTGAGTCTCCCACTGAGAAAATACCATCTCCACCCCACCCCTGGCGCCAATTTCCAGGCGAGGGGACCGAGAGATGCCAAGGAAGCAAACAGCCCCGTAAATTAGTGGTGGGGGGAGTGCTGGGGAGTCTCTGAGGTAGGAAGGAAGAAATATTATAAGAGGTGGGGCGGGGGGGGGGGGGCTGGAGGCACAGGAATAGCTGCCAAAACAGGGAGGAACAGAACCATCACACAAAGGCAGTTTGGAAGAGATTCACTTTATTCGCCTGACGCATAGCAGCATACAAGGTGGACTTCCCTGACTCCATTTCTTGCAGAGGCCGCCTCCAGTTTGCCCACTTCAGTCAACGCAGAGGGCAGAATTCTTGCTCGGGAGCGTTTTTCTAAGACATTTTTTACAGAGGGGTGGAGTCAAGGAGCAACGTTACACCTAAGAACGGGAATCCAAGCCCTGGAGGAAAGGGGCTGCACCAGACACCCGCTTCCAGGGAAGGCAGAAGCAGAGGGGGAGAGCTCAACAGCAGATTGCAGAACCAAGGCAGTGGAATGTGAGTGGAAGAGCTGAGAAGGACGATGGCGAGGCCCAAGTCACTAGGCCCCTTCCTTCCCAGGTTCTGAGTAGAAACTACTGCAGTTTTAGTTCCAAGGTCTGGCTTTGCTCCAGGGTACCAGAGACTACGCTAGGCAGATTTCACAGGTGATGCAGGCAGGTGTGGAACAGACCTAGAGTAGATGTTCATGTGCAGGCACTGGAGCTTTGAAGCTAAAGGTCCAGATCATGGTAGAGACTGCACTGCATAACCTCCCACAGCATTTAGGTCACTGTTCCTTTGCAGATCTGTCCCCCTCCCATAAGCCGTCCCTAATCTCTTCCAAGGCAGAGGATAGGGCAGCCAAGATGCACAGCTCTGCCACTCCACACTCACTTGTGCCGAAGGAGGGAGTCCTCCCCTTTGCTGGACATATGGGCTTCTGGGATGAGGGCCCTTAAGGCACAGGGAGGAAAACACTCAGCACATTCTTTCTCCTGCTTTGATCTTAAGTAAAGCCACAGAAAAGGGCCAAGGAACCAGGAGAGAATGTGGGGGTAGGAGGACCAGTGTAGTAGGAAGAGGGTGTTTCCCTCTCAAGGGCAGATTTGAGAAATTTCTCAAATCTGCCCTTGAGAGGAAAGGAAGGGGAGGGAGACCCTAGAAAGGCAAGAGGGACAAGGGACCACTGTGATTCTCCAAGATGACCCTAAGAGCATCTGCTGGGGGCCTGGATAAGAAGTCACAGCAGATGTGGGGTTTTGAGGGGCAAGGAACCGAGCACAGAACATCTTCACCGAAGGAGGGACCACTTGATCTGTTCTTTTGCTGACTGTAGCACCTGCAGAGACAAAGGCAGCACTGAGGGGGTTTGCACGCCACAGGGTGTGAGCAGGCTGAGGCTCTCATTCCCCACACTTGCCTTCCCTCTCCTTAGAAGAACTGGGGATAGGAAATCCCAAGGGTAGAAGAATAGGAGGGAGCTCTCTAAGGCCCTAGAGGATTGTCAGTTTGGAACCCCCCCGAATTCAAATCCACTGGGGGGATGAAGAGAGAAGAGGTATACCTGGGAGGAAAGAAAAAAAAGCTGGGGTTTATTGGACACAGTTAGAAAGAGGGGATCACACATCCAGATGGTGAGGATTCCTACTGAGCAAACCAAGAACCATTCCCTTGCAGGCCCCCAAGTTGGGTAGACAGTCCATCTGCGGTCAAGGTAGAAGGGTGGATCTGCAAAGCCTGCACATTCCAGAATATGCATTTCCAGCTCAGCCCTCATTTGAATAATAAGAGAAAGAGGAGTGTGAGCTCACTGCACACAGACCATCTGCTTCAGGCAAGCCTCGGCTGGAGAACAAATCACTGACTGAGTTATCTGGCAGGAAGGTTTGAAGGGTACAGAGAGCAAAGCTGACAATCATAGTCACAGTGAAAGGAGACAGTGGGGGTTGAGGACACTGTTCAATGAGTCCCAGCGCTCTGGGGTAAGAGGGAGCCAGGGAACCTCACTGAGTGTGAGGTCTCAACTCGGACTATGCAGTTGGGGGTTCCTGTAGTCTCTGTAGTAAATTAACCCTGTCCATGTGGAGAGGAGAGTCATACCTGAGACACGGTCTGCTCAGTAAGGGGGACGTCTTCACCCTGTATACAGAGACAAGCACTTAGACTGGAGCCTGGCACAGGAAGAAGTGTTCCTTTAAATTGAAGCAAAGGCAAATGCCCTAAACTTCTCAGTCCCTTCTTCCAAAGACTGAGCAACAATTTTATTTGGCCAGAGGGACTGTGAACACAAAAGGGTCATTTTATCCATCCTCTACCTAAAGGCAGGATGACTTCTTAAAAGATTTATTTCATTCCTAGTAATCAGCAGGATATCTGATCCTTACCTCCCTCAACTCTGGGGTGGAGGACCCGATTCCCTAGTCAGAGAAGACCTTCCCTGAATATCAATATGGAGGGGGTGGCGGAGGGAGCCAGGGGTAGCTTAATGGATCCTGCAAGGCCTGATGGGTAACGATGGCATGTTAATTTGAAGAAATAAACTGCTGCAACAGCAGCCTGAGAAGGGGAAGGGGGGCCCGTGGGGGGAGACCCTCTCTCTTGCCACATAGAGACATATGTTAGAGGAGAAGATTAAACTATGCAAATGGAGACTAGAGCAGTTAAGGGAGAAGACTTCCCATTACCCAGCACTGGCAGCCTTCACTCTGTGGAGGTCAGAGCTGGGACATTCTGGGAACTGGAAGCCCTGCTCTTCTCAGACATCTCTGCTCCATACAATTTACAGGTAGATTCTCTACTCATGTCATCCCGCTGAGCAGTCAGAAGCTTCCTGCCATTAACTCGAAGACCCCCTTTCTGGTGTCACTCACACCAAGGAGGGCTGAGGTACTGGCAAATAAGTACTTCCTAAGGGTTCCATTGGACTAAGACAGGAAAGACACTCCAATGCCTCTACTGACGGGAGCCATTGTAAAAGAAGCGACAAGCCAACCCCAAGCTCCTTTATAGTTTCTGAACCATGAGTATTATGCTTTCTTTTGCTTCTTTGTTCATTCAGTATGTTTAAAGTGCCCATTTTGTGCATATAGAATGCGAGGTGCCGTGTTGGAAACAAACAAGTTCTTCTGCCTCTCTGGTACACTGAGATAGAAAAGCCAGGAGAAGGACCCACGCATGTGAGAGGATAGGATGTATTTATGAGCCAGACCCTCAGCTATACTCAGCAGGCCTGGCTTGGGAGGATGTGTGGAGAGATGGGGGTTACACATTCCTGCTTACCCTCAAAGCCACCCGGTGCACCACTTGCTGGGGGTCGCTCTCTAGGATCACCCTACAAACACAAAGAAGATCACTGATCACTTGTCCTGCCCCAAAGGACCCACTTACTGTGAGGTCAGGATCACAGGCTGGTCAGTCAGTCCACTTGACTTGGAACAGGGGCAGCCACCTCCCTTCCCTGCCCCAAATCCAGGCAGGGCAGAGAACTCACCCTCCATCCACAATTTCATCCACAGCCAAGAAGAGTCCCTCCATATTCTCCAACAGAGCTCGTTTTTCTACATTTTTCCTGAATCCCCAAAAGAAGAGAAAAGTCAGGTTGTGTGTGAAAGGAATGCTGGGCCTCTGCCTGAATAGGGGATCCTAAACTAGACCAATAACCGTCTCCATTACTCACACCAAGAAGTGAGTAAGGTAAAGAGCTCTTGAGCTATAGTGATCAGAATGTCAAGAAAGGGATTCCAAACAGACAATTTCTAACTCCTAGCTGATTACCCAGTCTCTGTCACTGGTGAAGCTGCATGTAAAATAAACAAGAACAACAAACACAACTCTCATCTGGAATCGGTGCTGGGGGGAGGGGGAGGGGCAGAAGATACATCCTATCCACACTCAGGCTCTGACAAACTTCTGAAGTCTCTCTGCCTCTCCCCTCCCCCCAGGTCTGTTAAGCCCTAAAACAAAGGCCAAGGAGGGACTAGGAACAGTCAGGGGCTGCATCCACCAGCCTCAGATCCGGTGGTTTGTGCATGTGGCCTGTCACATCCGTCAGTACGACTCTTTTCTCTAGATTACCCGAAATGAAGTCTATTCATTCACCTGGCTGGGAAATAAATCATCCCCCTTCCTGAGGAAACCTGAGCCTTGGCCTGCTGGTTTGTGGGCTGAGAGCGCCTGCTGTTCTACTCCGGATGGATTTCTAAAATGCGTTCACTTAGGAGCTGCTGTGGGTCTTGAATGTTTTCAGAGAAAGTATCTTGTATTTTCTCTTGCTTGTGTGCACGGGAACAGAGGGCTACTGGGGAGGCACAGAGGACAAAGAGCACAGTGGGCTCATCCTATGTACGGGGGAAGACTAAGGCTGGTAATGGAAAACTGGGAATGTTTCCTCCATTCCCAAGGTAGGGATGTTCCACCTGGGCATTCCCCTTGTCCTTCCCTGCCTTCAACAGCAGAAGACAAAGCCTAGGAAAACACCCCAGAGCTCAAACATTGTCAGAATCATGGGACATGGCGTGAGTAGACACAGGTCACCGTGGTGCATGTCTATAATCCCAGCTACCCCAGAGGCCGAAGCAGGGGATTCCGTGCTCACGGGCTGCCTGGGTTACAGAGTTCTGGAACAGCATGCACAGTAAGACCTTGTCTTACAGTGAAAGAAAAAACACAACAAAAGGTTAGGGTGAGTAGCTTGGTGGTAGAACAGTTGCCTACCCTTGGCTTCAGTCGTTAGTATAGCCAAAGGGAGGCAGGGAAGGGACAGAGTATTATTCTCCCTTAGTAAGGGACTCTCTTTTGTCGTTTAGTAAAACTATTCCATGAAGACGAGGCTCTCCACTACCCACCTCAGTGAGTTACTCACAAATAGCAAGCCCAATTTCTTATATTTTTGGTGAGCCTAGCCTTTAATGGCTGAGCCATCTCTCCAGCCCACAGGCCCAATTTCTTACACTGAACTAATTCTCCTATGTGGCTCTGATTTCCCACAAATTCCTGGCCCTAAGGGATAGATACTTTCTCTTCCAAATTTAAACCAAGAATGGCTGCTCACCTCAACATCTGGCTCAAGGAGTCAAAGAGGCAATTCAGAACAGCCATAAGCATCAACTGTTGAGAAAGGAGACAGAAGGTTCAAGACCCTAAACTGCTACCCCAAAGCAAAACCCTCCACTTTATTCCTCAGCGAAATGCACAGGCCTTTACAAATGACCAGACATAATGTGAATTGCAAAGGCAAGAGGACTCTGGTTTTTCATAGAAGTTAATTCTGCTAAACAATTCCACAAGTGAAGGTTCTTTTCTTTCTTTCTTTTTTTTTTTTTTTTTTTTTTTGGCGCTATCCTGGAACTAGCTCTGTAGATCAAGCTGGCCTCAAACTCACAGAGATTTGCCTGCCTGCTAGGATTAAATGCACCAGCACTACCCAGCTAAGGGGAGGTTTCTTTAAGGTACAAGTTCAAACAGAACTTTGCTGACATAGTCCTCAATGTATCTTAGTCCTATTTGTGTGTGTGCATATGCCACATGTGTACAGGTGCCCACAGAGGTCAGAAGAGGGCAGGCATTACAGATGGTTTGAGCTGGCCAACATGGATGCTAGGAACCAAACTGAAGTCTTCTGAAAGAACAGCAAGCAATCTAATACTAAGCAATCTCTCCAGCTGGGTTTTGGGCTTTGTGGTAGTGTCTCACATTGCTTAGGTTGGTCTTCAACTAGCTATATAACTGAAGATGATCCTGAATTCCTAACTATACTTCCCAAGTGCTGGGATCATAGGTGTGCACTGTCATGCCTCTCTGCCTCTATGTTTCTTTTAAAAGTTAGCTTATTTAATGTATGTGCATGCTTATCTGTATCTAAATCTGTGTATCACAAGTGTGTAGTGCCCAAAGAGGCCAGAAGAAAACACTGGATCTCCTGGGATTGGAATCATAGACAGTTGTGAGCCACATGGAAATCGAACTCAGATCCTCTGGAAGAACAGCCAGTGCTCTTAAACAGCTGAGCCATCCTCAGCCCCGATCTCTGCCTTTACCAAGCTACCTGATGGATTAGTAAAGAGAGAAATCATTAACCAAGCAAAAGCTGAGGCCAGAGGAAAGTGGCAGAAGGTCCTTTTTAAAAATTTGTTTATTTAACCATATTTTATGTATGAGTGCTGCTCTGTGTGTATACCTGCATACCAGAAGAGGCCATTAGGTCCTAGTATAGATGGTTATGATCTACCATGTAGTTGCTGGGAATTGAACTCAGGACCTCTGGAAGAACAGCCAGTGCTCTTAACTATTGAGCCATCTCTCCATCTCACCCACACCCCCATCCCAAGGCCCTTTTTAAAAATGGTACTAGGGATCAAATCCAAGACTTCAAATTTGCTAAGTACACACTTCACTACTAAGCTTAATCTCCAGCCCCAGCTTGGGCTCTTTTTGTTTTGTTTTGTTTTGGTTTTTCGAGACAGGGTTTCTCTGTGGCTTTGGAGGCTGTCCTGGAACTCACTTTGTAGACCAGGCTGGCCTCGAACTCCCAGAGATCCGCCTGCCTCTGCCTCCCGAGTACTGGGATTAAAGGCGTGCGCCACCAACGCCCGGCTTCCAGCTTGGGCTCTTAAGTCAGAACTAGGTTTAAATCTCAGCTGATTCCACATGAGTTACCCTGAAAGAGTTAATGGGCTGAATCTCAAAAAACAGCTACTTTTGTAATTTGACAAAAGCCAAATACAAGTAATCTTATATGGTTCTTTAATGTTTGGTTTCCTTGTTGGCAAAACAAAAACAGTAATGCCTCCCATCCACAGAAGTGCTGCCGGGCTTAAACAATGTACTTCACAAAGGACATGCCTGGCAGTGAGAGCTCAGCAGGACCTGGTCTCCCAAACTCTTAACTGTGATGGAACATTAGCTGGTGGCTTATTTACCTGTCTACTCTCCCAGAAGTTGCTGTCACCGGAAACAAACATTCAGGAAGGTTAGGACTACACTCACAGTCCCTCTGAACAACACTGTGGGAACCTGGCATAGCGGCTCACACCTGTAATCTCAGCATTGGAGAGGCTAAGACAAGGGAACTGCTGTGAGTTTGAAGCCAGTCTGAGCTATAGTGTGACACTTGTCTCAAAACCAGACAAACAAAATCTAAAGCACCACTGTATAGGAAAGGACCCAAAAAGCATTCTAACTGGACATGGTGACTCATGCCTGTTATTACAGCACCTGGAAAATAGATGTGATTTGAAAACAGCCTGTTATACAGTAAGATCCTGCCCCTTTAAAAAAAAAAGACCTAGAAAAACTTCCTCTTTGACTGATTCTTTGGTTAGGCCCTTTTGTAAGGTTGACAGGGATCTCTAATGGACTTCTTTATGACCTTGCCAGACATCAGAGGAATGCAGCTCCCTAAAGCCCAAAACCAATGGCTGTGTCCCATCTATGGTTTCAGAAGTGACATCAGAGGTAGCAAATGGGCAGAGATTCTTACCTCATTTTCATAGGAGCTGCCAATCACATAGAAATAGAGATCGATGCTACTTTTATAGACCACTGTCAGCCCTTCCAACAGGGCAATTTCACCTTGGGGAAGAAAGCAGAAACTGAATGGTGGGAGAAGAGGAGGCAAAACAGGAGTCACTGCCAATTCTTGGGGACAGCTGCGTCGGCCAAGCAAAGGCCAACTGTAACGACCTCTATTGTTTAGGGGTTAGCAGAAGGGACACAGAAACTCAGGGAGTCTGAATGTATGTTCTCTAGCCCTTCCTCCCCCACTGCACCGACTTCCTCCCTGTGTAGAGGCAGGGTACCAGCGATCCTTCCGAGGTAAAAATGCAGAGCGGTCACCTTTACAGGCTTCCATTTACCTGCCCTAATGGATGCGGTACAATAAGCAGGGCTGCAGTTAAATTTGTCAAGTGAGGCTCATAAATCCAGGGACTAGACAGGTAGCTAACAGCCAAGCTTCTAGCACGGTATTCCCGCGTGAGGTACACTCACCTCCCCATTACATTTCTGAAGAGTTTATTATATGAGGGGAGGAGGAAAAAAGAAAGAGGAGGCCGAGTCATTTTATCTTTTTCTGCAGTCCTGCTGACACCCCCTTCCCACGGTTCCCCCCCAACAAAGGGAATAGTGAAGGAGAATGACCTACTATCTGTCCGATGGGTCTTGTTGAAAATGTTCTTCTCAAAGGCCTTTTGCTCCTTGACACTAGGGTAGGTGTCGTCATAGTACTAGTTGGAGGGAAAGGAGACAGGGTTGGGTCATCATAGCTGTGAGCTGGATGATTAGTGACTGTTCTACTCTGGCATCTTATACGTCTCTCCTCCAAAGCACGGGGTGGGAGAAGAATAAGATAGAGAAGAAAGGACTACAGAGGCAGGGAGTGACAGGGAAGAGGAGAGGGGGGAGGGAGAGAGGAGGGGGAGAGGGGGAAAAGGAACAAGAAAGAAGAGAAGGGAGAGAAAAGTGCTGCTGCCAAGCCTCACAACCTGAGTTTGATCTCCAGAACCCACAAAGTAGAGTAAGAGAGCCAACTTCTAAAAGTTGCTCTCTGGCCTTCTCTAACAAGCACATACACCTACAAAAGAAGTGAACGTGGGGGGACAAGGACTGTGCTGTCATCAATCCTACAGTCCCACACGCCAGCTCTCCTAAGGAGACTTCCGCCACATGCTTCCTAGGAGCTGCCCTTGTCAGGGGGGGGTCAGTACTGGAGAAATAAGCAACACTAAATGCAGGGATGCTTCCTCAGATTTTCCCTCTCTGCAGGAGACCAGTCCTGGGGGTGGGGGTGGGCGCAGGGCATTAGTTTTGTTTTTCTAGACAGGGTTTCCCTGTGTAGCTCTAGCTGTCCTGGAACTCGTTTGTAGGCTCCATGGACTTGATCTCAGGGATCTGCCAGCCTCTGTCTCCTGAGTGTCCAAAGAACTAGGCTTAAAGGTGTGGGCCACCACCGCCTGGCTGGAATACCACTCTTTTACTGAACAGGGGAGAAAGGCCATACAATCTTCCACAGCAAGGCAAACCCATGCCCTGTTCTCCTGCACATCTTGGCTATTCCTGCCTGCTGAGAGAAGGGGGCAGTCGAGCACTTCACTGAGCCCACTCCCAAGCACTCCTAGCAAGGGGGTGGAGATGCAGGCTGCTAAATCGCCTGCTCTTTAGGGGCTAATCCGTTGCAGTCAGCTGAAGACCTATGACAGGTCTGGCATTTAGTAACTGGATAACTGTTTCCAAAGGTGTCCTGCATAGTTACATCCAATTACAGGGAGGAACAGCTGGTGAATTCTAACTAATCTCCACCTGCTGATTGATTTATGCTCTGCTCGCCCAGAGTTAATACACCAGGGACAGAAGACATTTCTACAGGAGGGGGAGAATGGAGGAGAGGGGTGTCCTTTCTCTTCTCAATCCATCCAAAGTTGTAACACCTCATGGGGCATGCGGCATGGTGAGGACTACAAACCTAGGACTACAAGTCAGAAACTGGAAGACTCCCTGGACAAACTCAGGCTGAGTGACAAGGTAAGAGGGAGGGGCAGAAGGGGAAGGGGCAGATGGGACAGTCAGGACAGATGGAACAGACTGAGACAGTGTTTTGTTTAGGAGCTAAGGTTCTGAAGTTCTTCCCTGCTCTGAATAGGATGACAGAGGAAGTTCAAGGTCTGAACACAGCAGGAAGAAAGACTCTAAGGGACAGAAGATTGCCAACTTGGATTTTTCTGGAGTGGTCAAGGTAAGATGGAAGAATTCTCAAAACCATCATACTCCTGAAGAGTTTGAGTTAGTAGGACCAATCCCAACATTTAATTCTTCAATGTCTCTGTTCTGATCCTAAATTAATATGAAAGGAAATCTCACCTTAGCAAAGAGTCGGTCTCCATCATTGTCCAGAATCAGGATGGCCTTGACAGTGTACAGGGAGGGCTCCTGAAGAAACATGAACACACCTTCAGTTTTGAGGGCTTCGCCATTATTAGCAAGCCTAATTAATACCTTCCTCCCTTCCATGGTCCCACTGAGCTGGAAAGGGTCACACAGGGGTCTGTGTGTGTCCCCGACTGCAGCATGGTTAGGCCTAATACCTGCCCCTGAGAATAAGCACGTGGAGGATGAAATGAACTCCAAAGCAGACTCAGAGAAACAGGCCGACTTATAGGCCTCCATCAGGGTAGGTCACGCATTATTTCCAGGTGCCAAGGCCAGTCATTTTCCAAATCACCCATCCTCTCTGGCCTCCTGGACACAGGTGGGCATGGAATGTGACCACGCTAATAAATGAACACTACTCAAATGAAAGAGGGTTGTGTACTTAGAAGCCACTGCTGTCCCAAAGCAGAGGTTTAAAGCAAGCCACTCTAAACCATCCAAATACAGCAGGAGGAAAGCACTGTGTAAATACATGTGCACACACATACACATACCAGTTCCCTGAGACAGACACCATCCAAAAATTCACATATGAGACCCTTCATATATCTATATATGAACCATTATCACTTAGTCTGCTAGGGTGAAAAATCAACCAGAAATTTTTTTTTTTTTTTTGGTTTTACGAGACAGGGTTTCTCTGTATTGTTTTGGAGGCTGTGGGACCAGCTGTAAGACCAGGCTGGCCTCGAACTCACAGAGATCCGCCTGCCTCTGCCTCCCGAGTGCTGGAATTAAAGGCGTGCGCCACCAACGCCCGGCTTCAACCTGAATCTTAAGTGTGGTAAAAAGGAAAACTATTTGAGAGGCCCAGGGTCCAGGAGGTAGCTAACAGGAAGGGAATTTTCTTTCACTACCAGGAATGGAACTGAGGCTCAAGGTGTGGCTCCATGCACAGTGCATGTTTAGTATGCAGGGGCCTGGGTTTAATCCCCAGGCACTCTCCACAAATCACAACAAAATGGCAGAATGAAACAATTGCTGACATTGGCTCACACAGGCACTACAGTCTTAGCTCTGATAGTTATACTTAACACCTTTACTCAAATGCAAACAGATGACTTAGGAAAAGCTGTTTTACTCGCCTCTATCCACATAAGTTTCAGAAGGGAAAAGTGAGAGGAGTTGACATTGTGTACAGAAGGCCTCTGTCGCTCTCATTATTTGATGACCTCACCAATAAATACTTTCTGCTACTTCTTATGCCAACACAGGATTGTCTGCTTTGCTTTCCTGGTCTTAGGAAACTCACCCATCTTCTAAACATGTGTTAGCACAAGGTCCCCCCCCCCCCTTTTTTAAGACAGTGTCTCATTATGTAGCTCTGGCTGTCCTGAAACTCTGTAGACCAGGCTGTCCTTAAACTCAGAGATCTACCTGCCTTTGCCTCCCCAGCTGGAATTAAAGGTGTGCACCACTATACCACCAGTTTAAAAGCCAGTGTGCTGTTTCTCTGTGTAGTCCTGGCTGTCCTGGAACTCTCTATGTAGACCAGGCTGACCTCAAACTCCACCTGTCTCTGTCTCTGAAGTTGCTGTGATTAAAGATATGTGCTACCTCTGCCCTGCAGAAGCCAGTACTCTTAATTGCTGACCTCTCCAGATCACTAACCCAGTCTTTTGAAAATGGTATAAGAGGCTGGAGAGATGGCTCAGCAGTTAGGAACACTGACTGCTCTTCCAGATGACCTGGGTTCAATTCCCAACATCCACACGGCAGCTAACAACTGTCTGTGACTCCAGTTCCATGGGATCTGACAGCCTCACACAGACACATGCAAGCATAACACCAATGCACAGAAAAATGAAATAAATTTAAAAAAGAAGAAGAAAAAAATGGGATAAGAGCCAGGCAATGGTGGCATACACCTTTAGTTCCAGAACTTGGGAGGCAGAGGCAGGCAGATCTCTGGGTTTGGGGCTAGTCTGCTCTACAGAGTTCCAGGACAGCCAGGACTGCTACACAGAAAAACCCTGTCTCAAAAAATAGAAAAGAGGTTGGGCGGTAGTGGTGTATGCCTTTAATCCCAGCACTTGAGAGGCAGAGGCAGGTGGATCGCTGTGAGTTCAAGATCAGCCTGGTCTACAAGAGCTAGTTCCAGGACAGCCTCCAAAGTCACAGAGAAACCCTGTCTAGGAAAAAAATTAGAGAAAATGACCTAAGAAATCTAAGATTTGCTTTCCAGAGCAATGCCCAGCACATTCTGAACTCTCAATATTTGTTCAAAATTGGGAATACAGTTTAAAAAGAAATCTCTCGAGACAATGTATTAGAACTGGATTTTTACAGCTAAGTGGATTTTGTAGTGAGACCATTTGGGGGTGATATTATCACCAACCCATCCTCTCCTCTGACGCACTTAAAACTGCCCACCCCAGTCACACTGCTCTCTGGAATAACAGACAGGAGTACCTCCTCTGCAGCCGGGGAACTGTGCTGTCTGGCAGAGGGAAGTCTTTTGAGTCTAAAAAGTCACAAACAGAAGTTGCTCTTCTAAGCTCTAGCTCTACACAGAAAGATCACCACACAGAGCAGGCTCTGTTCTATAGTAACTTGGCTGTTCAAGTACCAAAATCGAGCCCTCAATGGGAATGAGTTTCCTTAATGGACAAAAAGTGCCAATAGAAGGGAATGGTTAGGCCCCTCCATCCACACTTACAACAACCTTAGAGGGCTAGTTGCCCACAAATTGAAACTGGACCTTAATCTGGCATTTGTGACTGTTCTTACAGCCAGAGTCTGGCATTCCAGGAAGAAATGGGAGCACACACCCCCACCCCAGCGTAAGCCAAAATCCCTAATGGCCACCTGCCAAGTAGGAGAGCCAGCATTCTTGTGGTCAACACTGTCTAAGCACCTAAACAGCCACGCTGACAACTGAGAAACAGCCCAGGGTTCTGCTCTGGCTCTATTCACTGGCTTCCTAGAAGATATGATCAAAGAAACTTCAAAACAGAAACAAGACAGCATTCTTGGGCAGGATAAAAAGACAGGGTAAGGAGGAGGAGAAACCAGCTTTCAGGCACCAAGGTTCTGGGAACAGAGGGAAGGCAGGACAAAGATCTGATCATTTCAGATTTGCAAAGGAAGAGCTCCAACAAGGAAAGCTGAGGGAGGGCATAGGCAGGGGAAGGAAGGCCACTTGAAGACATGCCTCTGTCCAGAAGAGCCAGCTCTCCTAACTTCTGCTACCTAACTCTGGCTGGGTCCTCTTCACCCTATGGCCTTCATCTCTCAGGAGTAGGGAAGCTGAGAGTTCCCTTCATATCATAAAACCAGCCTGTTTAAAGGCTCCAGAAGCCATTGCTGATAATTTCACTCCAAGTTTTGTAAAGAACACATTCATAAATAATTCCCAGATACTGAGAATGAGCTTCCTGGACAATGGAATAGGCTTGACCTTGTAACACATTAAATGCTGACTCTTGAAAAAGACCTTACAATCTTAGGCCCACACCTCAAGGACGGAAAAGATCTATTCTTCCCTCTCACTTCCCAAATGGGCAGCTGCTAGAAAGCTTCCGAGACAAAGTTCTGTGATGCACTGACTTTTGGAGCCACAGCCTGAGTGTATAACAGAACTTCACCTCAAACGCTAACAGTACCTGGGGATGAGTGTATAACAGAACTTCACCTCAAACGCTAACAGTACCTGGAAATGATGGATAGGCACACTGGCTTGTGGGAGGAGGAGTAGCGAAGACAGATTTTCATGTCTACTTTCATTATCAAGAAAACTAGAAAGCTGTCCTCTTCCTCAGGACAGTTGAAATGCCAGCCAACAAGCAACTAGGCTGCTGCAAACAGCTCTCTGATCTCAATCAGGGACTCCTGAAGCCTGGCTGAAAAGTCATGTCTGGGAGGCCCACAGCCCACACTGGGAGAGCTAGAGGGAGAAGAGTCCTTTCCAGTGCTGCCCTCTGTGGGCCTCCTGGCTGACTTGTAGCCTAAGCAGTCAGTGCTAGAAAGCCAACGGTGTAGGGCCCAGGCTATTTTGGCAGAGTGCCTGCCTAAGGTGTGAGACTTTGTGTTCAATCACACACACAAGTCAAAACAAAGAAAAAAAATCAACAACCAAGGAATCCCTACCAGACTCTATCTGTATGTACTTTGTATTTTAAGTAAAACTAACAGAAATAGGTTCAGAATAGAAAACTGACAGCAGAGGCGCATGCCTATAGCCCGGAATGCAGGTGGTAGAAACAGGAGGATCAGAAGTTTAAGGTCATGCTCAGCAACCTGGCAAATTCTAGGACAGGCTGGGACAAATGATCTTGTCTCACAACAAGTACAAACAACAGCAAACTATGGAATTGAGTCTATTGCCAATATATACAGTAATAGTAAGGGAATACTTGGGTAAGATCTTTGTATGATACCAAAAAGCTTGGAGGAATAATATGTAGAGCAGAGAAACAGAGTATTTTAGAATTATGACTATTTGATTCACTTAGGTGACGAAACCCAAAGGCCCAAGAATCAGAAGGGATGGCCCAGAGATTGAGAGCATTTGCTGCTCCTGCAAAGAACCCAGGGTCAGTTCTCGGCTCCCAGTGGGGGGAGGGGAGGTGTCTGACACCATCTTCTGGCCTCTGAAGGTACTGCATGCACATGGTTTCCATATATGTGTGAAGACAACACTTGTACATATAAAATTAAATTAAATAAAAAAAATCTGGTTGAGATTCCTGGAAAGTTCTTCATTCTCTACTTACAAAGATATTCTTGGGGCCATAGCAAAAGGGGGGGTGCCTCGGCTTAGCAATGGATCTGACCAATTAAAAACTGTTACAAAGCTGGGTGGTGATGGAGCACATTCAGTCCTGGCTCTCAGTAGACCAAAGCCAGCCTGGTCTACTTAGTTCCAGGACATCCAAGGCTTCACAGAGAAATCCTGTCTCAAAAAACAAAAAGAAGAAAGAAAAAAAAGAAGATATTCTTAGGAACTGAGACTATAGCTCAGATGTAGTGCTTGCCTAGCTTGAATGAAGCCTTGGGTT